AGCCTACGGTGCCCTCATGGACGAGGAGGATGAGGGATCCAAGTTCTGCGAAGAGGACATTGACCAGATCCTGCAGCGCCGGACACAGACCATCACGATCCAGTCTGAGGGCAAGGGCTCCACCTTTGCCAAGGTGCGGGGTGTGGGACGCTGCCCGGCTGAGCCCCTCGCGAGGTCGAGCTCGGCGTGCGGATGTGCAGGAGGGCGCGGCGCTGTGGGGCTGACCCCTGAGCTGAGGCTGTAGCCCAAGGGCAGCTCTGCTCCTAGGCTTGGTCTCTGACCTCGGGAGAGCCCTTGCTGGGGCACGGGGCAGCGGGAGCTCCCGAGTGACCGATGGCCGTGCGGCAGGGAGGAGGGCACCAGGCCCAGGCTGCACCAGCACCACTAGGTTCCTGGCAGCGTGGCACCTTGCAGCAAAGCTCCCTGCAGCCCAGCCCGGCAGCGTCCTACCGTGCTCCTGTGCTGCCAGAGGCCTGGCTCTGCGCAGAGAGCCCTGGGGCGGTGGCAGAGGGTGGGTGATGCCACGGGCTGTGCGCTCCCCTGGGCCCCTGCAATGCTGCAGGAGCAGAGGACGAGCACCCAGCACCGTGCCGCGCTTCATGGCCTGCCTGCTGGGAGCGCAGGCCCTCGGGCTGCCCTCGGGCTCCCCTCTGCGTGCAGGGTACCGCCCTGGCTCGGCTGTTTCCAGGAGGTGAGGAGAGGCAGGCTCGTCTCCTTGAGCAGAGAGGCCTTTGGTGTGTGTCGCCACAGGGTGTGATGCTGCTTGGCAGAGAGCCCGTCCACCGGGGACAGAGAGATGGGGGGTCCCTGCGAAGGAAAGCACAGTTGAATGTGGCTGCAAGCTCAAGGTTCATTGCTCTGCTTTCTCCCCTAGGCCAGCTTTGTAGCATCAGGAAACAGAACTGACATTTCCTTAGATGACCCCAACTTCTGGCAGAAGTGGGCAAAGATAGCAGAGCTGGACACCGATGCTAAGAACGAGAAGGTAGGACGCAGCTCCAAGCCATGCACTGTGCCCATGTGCCCCACGGTGGAGCTGCCCAGCGCCCAGCACCGTCCTGCTGCTCCCTGCGCTCCAGCCCGGAGCCCAGAGCTTCGACTGCAGTGCTGCTGCCGCCTGGCTCATGGGGTGTTGTGTTTCAGTGAGAGATCGGGAGCTGCTGCAGTGGAAGATGGGCCCATAAAGGCTGGCTAAGCCCCTGTTGCTCTGACGCCACATTTTGGATGTGTCTGCCTGGTATATTTTGGGGTGCAGGGATGAGGGGCCGTTCTGGGAGCGCAGGCTCTGAGCCAGCAGCTCTGCTGCCCGCTCCCCGCAAGCGTGGTCAGGCTGGGGACTGGCCTCGGCTGCGTGCGGTGCCTGCAGCTGCGGTGCAGCCCCTCGCCCTGCTTTGGGGCCAGGGTTGGGAGCGAGGGCTGAAGCCCCTCGCCACGTCCACGCAGGAAGGGTGCAGGTGGCCAGTACCTGGACGCTCTGAGGGTCTTCCCTGCTGCCCTCCCTGGCAGATCAGCCCCTTCCCAGCCACTCCTGGGCAGAAACATGGTAGTGGAGCTTCGGGAGGCCGGCGCTGGGCTCAGCGAATCTGCCAGCTGCGCTGCTGGCCGTTTCTGCAGGCTCAGGGAGCATCTCCCAGGAGCAGCACCCGTCTCACAGGCCTGCCCACTCAGAGAGCTGGCTGTGAGGGCACGTGAACGTGATTGCCGGTCTGCAGCTGGAGCGAGAGGATGGGTCTGGTCCCTGCCACCGCAGCAGGCAGCCCCAGACGGCAGCGGGAGGGCGGCCGGACCGCTCCGTGCAGTCCTTGGTCGAGCAGGCAGTGTGGGACGGGGTGTTTGTGCACCCGCTCCGCGTGCCGAAGGCTGCCCGGGTTTGGAGGGCTCGGTGAGGATTTCAGGTGCGCCCAACAGCGTGCGGGGGTGAATGGCATGGCCGTGGCAGGGATTCTCCTGCACCTTCCCCACAGCTGGGTTTCCTTTTCCAGCCCCACCTGCCTCTCCTGGATACAGAAATTGCCCTGTGTCCCGCAGGGCGCCTGGCAGGGGCTATGGCCTTGGGCTATTAGCTGGATCCTCCGCTCCTTGGCAGCAGATTGACCAGAGCAGGCAGTTTTTCACCTGTTGTTGTTCGGGTGGGGTCTTGTGCCGGCCAGGAATGTTGTTGTGGTTGCACACAACCTGCACACGGTGGAGTAGGGGCCGGTGTCCTTAGGGTGTCCGTGACTGGGCAAGGTGTCCGCTGGCCTGGGGGCTGGCCAGCCGCACCGCAGTGCCGGCCACGGGCCTGGCCTGGAGGGAGGGCTGGGCTGGGAGGGCAGCCCCTGGGCCCCAAAGCAGGGCCTGTTTCTGCCCTCACCCAAGCGTGTCCTCATCTCCCTGTGTCCCTCGTAGGAGAGCCTGGTCATTGACAGGCCCCGGGTGCGCAAGCAGACCAAACACTACAACTCCTTTGAGGAGGACGAGCTGATGGAGTTCTCCGAGCTGGACAGCGACTCTGATGAGCGGCCCACACGCTCACGCCGCTTCAACGAGAAGACGCGGCGGTACCTGCGTGCCGAGTGTTTCCGTGTGGAGAAAAACCTGCTCATCTTCGGGTGGGTGTCAGCTGCTCCCCAGCAGCGCGCTCGTGGCTTCCAGCACGCAGGGCCACCGGCGTCACCTTCTGTCCCCTGTGAGTGATAGCAGCCCTGAGCAGTGTCCCCTCCCCTCCACATTGACCTCTGTGGTGGGATGTGCCCTGTTTCGCCCAAAGGGGACACCTGGGCTGGAAGGAGAGCATGGACCAGGCAGCAGCGATAGCTCCCAGCTCTTGCTCCGCCTCTGCCGTGGTCAATCCTAGGCAGACCTCTCCCTGCTTGTGCCCTCCTCATGCAGGGGCAGGACAAGCCCTGTCCATGGGGGCCCGTGTTAGGGCTGTGCCCTCTCGCCGGGAAGGCGCTGGAGGTGTCTCTGATTGCTCAGAGCATTCACTGTGTTTGTGTTCCAGCTGGGGACGCTGGAAAGATATCCTGACCCACGGGCGGTTCAAGTGGCACCTGAACGAGAAGGACATGGAAATGATTTGCCGGGCCTTGCTGGTCTACTGCGTGAAACACTACAAAGGGGATGAGAAGATTAAGAGTTTTATTTGGGATCTCATCACGCCAACGAAGGACGGCCAGAACCAGGCGCTGCAGAATCACTCAGGTATTGCGTGTTCTCTCTGCCATTGCACTGCTACTCATCGGGAAGCGGCGGCTGCAGCCCGGGGGCCTGCTCTGTGCAGCGCACACGGACCCTCTGAGGCTGCCTGCGCAGGAAGGAGGGTCCCCAGTGCGCTGGTGGCCATGGCTGCTGCAGAGGAAGCCCCTTGGTGGGAGCAGCGATGCCAGCCAGCTCTTCAGCGGGGGCCACTAGTTCCTTTCGGGGCTGGAGATGCCCTTAAGGCTCCCAGGGCAGCGCAGGGCAGGGTGGTGCATTCGTGGCACCCAACTGCTGTGCACTGAGAGCTGCAGCCTCGGTGCGACAGGAGTGAGGGCAGAGGCGGCACTCGGGGTCTGCAGGGGCCGGGCTGTTCCCCAGGGCATTGCAGGGCCCAGGGCGCTCGTTGCTTGGGAATCCTGCCCGGCAGTCCTGGCTCCAAGCCAGGCGCCGCCAATGCTGGGGTCCTCCCCATGCCAGGACGGGGCAGCCTGGGCAGTGACTTCGACCTGGGTGCCAGCTCGTGGCTGTGCCTGTGCTGGGGAGCCCTGGGGACCAGCTCGTGGCCATGCTCGCGCTGGGCAGCCCTGGGTGCCAGCTTGTGGCTGTGCCCGGGCTGGTGCCCAGTCTGCACCACCTGCCCCGCTGGGCGGAGAGGCCCTGGTGTGGGTTTGCCCTGACACCTCTGCAGTGCAGAGTCCTGCCAAGGTGGCACCGCTTCTGCGGCCTCGTAAACCTGGCACAAATGTCTGCCTGTGCTCAGCCGCATCTGGGCCGTGGCGCAGGGTGAGCAGGGCTGGCGCTGGGCTCTGCTCCTGCCTCTGGCACCAGAGAGCCAGGCCGGAGCGCCACCTTCCTGGCCCGATGTGACGGAGCCTGCAAGGGGCCTTTCCAGGTGGCCCAATGGCAGCGTGGGGCACGCGGCGCTCGGGTGCCACCACTGAGACCCACAAGCATCCCGTGCATTGCGTAGTGTCTAGAACGGCACCGTCCAGGCCCCAGAGCCAACAGAAATGCCTGCCTTGCTCTGCAGCGCGCGCTCGGAGCGTGTGGTCTGCAGAAGCCGCTGCGGCGAGCACGAAGCTTGGCGTGTTTGGGTGTTCGGCAGAGGGGAGCAGCCCGCAGCTCCTCTGCCAGCGTGACTTTGCCCCAACTGTGAGAGCACCCTGCGCCCCCGGCCAGAGGGGCAGTGAAACCCCCCAAGCAGCCTGCGGAGGTGGCTGCAAGCCGGGAGGCGGCCGCGCATCCTGCCGTGGTCACCAAGGAGCTCAGCGTGTTCGCAGGGAGCTGAGAGCAAGAGCTGCTCCAGGAAGGCTGGAGCAGAAGGGAGCAGGAGGCCCCGAGACCTCTGCTTGTGCATCCTGGGGACTCCTCTTTCTTAATGCCACATGCGCTGAAGTGTGACTGCGGAGGGGCGAGCCAAGCCAGCCCTCCTCAGGGCTTTGGGCTAATCCATCTGATCCATACCCATTCTGGCTGGAGGCTGCGTGTTAGCACAGGGCCCACGAGGCCCAGCGAGCCCGCAGAGAGAAGACCTGGTGACTGCCCGGAGTCCCCGTACTGCTGTGGAGCTGCAGGCACGAGGAGGCTGTTGAGGACACTGTGTTCAAGACCACCCAGGCGTTCAAGACCAGGTGATGGGGCAGAGCGGCTGAGGCTGCTCTTCCTGCCCGCAGGTCTGTGCTTCCTGGACGCATGGCAGAGCAGGGGCGTCCGCCCAGGCGGGAGGCCAATCTCTCCTGGAAGACTCCAAGCAATAGTGACCCCACCAGGAGGCATTTCCATGTTCCACTGTGACCTCGCACCTTCTTTCAAGGCTGCAAGTGTGTTTAATTTTCAGCTCCAGCCACTGGATGTCATGGATCTGCCTTCCTTTTCCATTCAGCGTCTCTGCCGAGTGTGAGCAGCCCCTGCAGTGATTCCTGCACAGCCCTCTTCCCAACACACGGAACAGTTCTTAAAGATCATCAAGATTTTCTCCAGCCTTTGATCACTTTGGAGCTCCTTGTTGGAACTTTTTCTGCAATTTACTGTGTTGCCTTGTGGGGTGACACCCCCTTCCAAACCGCTGTGGTGTCCAGCTCCGCGAAGAGCTGTGCCCACGACCGTGGTCCCTTTCTGCCTTCTACCTGGTATTTTATACATCAAGGGCGTATCTCTTTGGGCTCAGCCTAGTCCTGAGGACTCGTAGTGCCCCGTCCCAGGGTGATCCCTGAGCTCCTGGAGACAGTCTCCCACACTCCGGGTCCAGCCCGGATGCTCATTTACAGGTCCCTCACCTGAACTGGCAGTAGTGAAAAACACCGTAAATGCTTTGAGATCTGTCGGTTCTGATCCAGCCATGACAGGTCCAGCTCCTGTAGCGCAAGTTTGAGGCAAGAACGGCCTGCCGTGTTAAGCAGGGTGTTTGCACAGAGTTCTGCTCATCGCTTTTAGCAGCCAGTTCTGTATCCTACTGAAAATGCAGCAGGGCTGCTTTAGTAGGGCTGTTTGCCCCCTGCTCCAGTTCTGAATTCCACCTGAGCCACCACTGCTGTCCCAGTCAGGAATGAGCCTTTCTGTGCATCTCCCAGCTCCAGGCTTACGCCCGGTCGTGCCTGTTCGCCCTTGGTGCAGTCGCCTTGGGGCTGCGCAGTCCGGCCGCCCACTCCACTCCCAGGCACAGGCTCCCGGAGCGGCACCGTCTTCTGCCGCTGTGCCAGGCGGCCCTGCAGAACCGCCACAGGCGGGTTGCTGTGCCAGGCGGGTCGCTGTGCTGGGGGGGTTGCTGTGCCAGGAGGCCCTGCAGAACCAGCAGGCGGGTCAGGGGGACTGGGTTGCTGGGATTTGTGGCTTGTGTGGGGTCCCTGGGACTGTGAGTGCAGCCTGCCCCGGCCCTGCTGCTGGGCAGGGGCTGCAGCAGGAGCCTGGGGAGAGGGGCCGGTGCGCCGAGGCCGGAGTGGATGCAGGGCGGGCGCCTGCCGGGCACCGGAGTGTTGAGCCCTGCTCCTTGTGCCGCAGGGCGGGCTCTGCCTCTCCTGGCACTGCGACTTACTCAGTGCTGTCATCGGGCCCTGGCTGTACCGAGCACCGTCTCTGCACCAGGGCTGCCAGCGCAGCTGGGCTGCGGGGACGGGCACATGGGCACGGCCCTTGCCTGGCCCTGGCTCCTGCTCCGCAGGAGGGAGCCCTGCAGAGAGCCCCGGCACCGGCTCCACTGCCTCAGCTGTGCCACGGTGCCCGTGGTGCTCAAGCGCTGCCACTCACCCCTACAGGTCTGTCAGCACCGGTGCCCAGGGGACGGAAGGGCACAGATGCTGCTCCCTGAGCTCAAGAACGCGGATTGGCTCGCCACGTGCAACCCCGAGGTGGTGCTGCACGACGACAGCTACAAGAAGCACCTCAAGCAGCACTGCAACAAGTAAGGACAGGAGCCCGCAGCAGCAGGGCCGCTGCAGCCGCGTGGTGGGTTATGGGCCCCAGGCATGGAGAGACAGGGAGAGTCATGAAGGGCCTCCCACGCAGGCAGGGTTGTCACTGCCCGAGTATCTTCCACATTGGGTGCAATGGCATCTCCAAACTAGTGGCTGAGCTGCAGCCATCTGTTCCCCAGCCTCCTCTGTCCCCAGCCTGCTGCAGCTCCATGTTAAATCCAGCCCTGCCTGCTTGGAGCAAGTCTCGCCTTGGCTCTGCCGAGAGTTTTGAGCTGCCTGTGCTGGCAGGAGCTGAGGGTCTGTGGAGCCAGCGGCAGCACCAGAGCAAAGGCTGCAGTGGGCCGTGGTGGAGAGAAGTCCCTGAGAGGCTGGTTGGAAGAGGGTTTGACGCGGAGCTGCTGCCCAGGGTGCAGAGCCTGGGGCTGGCTCCTCTGCCCTCACCGCCCCCTGCGCCGCGGGCTCTGCAGCCATGCACACGGCAGTGCCCAGCGCCACCAGGGCGTCCTCCCTGGCCCTGCTGCTGGCCCTGCCGTTCAGCCCTTCCTCCCCAGGGCCCTTTGACATTTCTCAGTTGCGCACAGTGGAGGAGATGATGGGGGAGGCAGCAGTGCTCTGAGCACCCAACGTCTGCCTGTGGCGCCCCGGGAGGGCGCAGGGCAGGGCCCAAGGGCGACCCCAGGGCCTGTCCTGCAAGGGGACAGATCCTGAGGCCCAGGGTGCTCCACGGGCTGGGAAACAGCGAGGTTGCCCTGGCTTTGCTGGCCCTGGAGTGCTCCCTTGCAAGGCAAGGGGTGTCGAGCTGCATGCCGAGCTCCTCTGGGCTAGCGTGTGTCCTCTCTGCTCCCTGCGACAGGGTCCTGCTGCGCGTACGAATGCTCTACTACCTGAAGGCTGAAGTACTGGGGGAGGCCGCGGACAAGGCCTTCGAGGGCACCCCTGCCAGGTAGGGCACCCGTGGTGAGCCCGTGCTGCTGCTCGGGAGCAGGGGCAGCGCTCGAGCGCTGTCACAGCTGCCCCGGCCACCTCCACGTTCACAGCAGCCCTGGGTGGGCTGGGCTCTGCACTCAGATCCCCGGGTTTTGCCCAAGCCAAACATCCCTCGGTGGCACTGCTGCCTGGGCGATGCCTCGATGGAGCTGGGCTCAGGCGGCCACAGCACAGAGGGTGCCAGGGATGCGCCACAGCCCGCAGGGAGAGGCCTCCGCAGGCCTCCACCAGTGTGGGAGCCGGCTGGCACGGTGCCAGCTGCCCACCCCCAGGGCTCCTGGAGCAGAGCAGCCCCCTGTTCTTATGCCCGGACCCATCCCCATCCCTGAGGACAAGGGGCCGACAGGCTCTGTCGATGCTGCCGAGCCCAACGGCTGCCAACTCCCCGCTGTTTGCAAGGGCTCAACGCTCAGAGCTTGGGTCAGAGGTGCAATACGCTGAGCTTCGTTTCCTGGGACAGGGGCCCTGGGCTGGGCTGGGGGTTTGTACCCCCATGAGTCCTCACAGAGGACGCGCTGTAGCCCACCTATCAGAGCCTGAACCGGTGACTTTGAAGAGGGTTTCTCCCAGGAGATGCTCCTGAAGTCCGTCGGGAGCTCCCCTCCGCATTGCTGCCCAAGGGAGGAGGAGAGGGTGTGCAGGGAGGCAGCGGCTGCGCGGAGCAGCGTGCGGCCCTGCGTGCGCACGGAGGAGCGAAGCGCCCGCGCCAGCCTCCCCCTCGCTGCCCCGCTCTGCCCCTCGTGCAGCCACGCTCACACCGTGTTCCCTGCAGGGAGCTGGATGTGCTGCTGCCAGACATCGACTACGTGGAGATCCCAGTGGATTGGTGGAACGCCGAGGCGGATAAATCTCTTCTCATCGGCGTGTTCAAGCACGGTATGTAGCCCTGTCCACAGGGCGGTGCGAGCGGGCAGGGCAGGCCCCAGTGCTGCGCTTGGCCAGGCCTGTGGCTCGGCTGCCTCCCGTGTTGTGCCGGGAGCGACATGTTGTTGCCATGTGAGTGCCTGTCCCAGGAGCCCCCCGCCTGGCACCAAAGCCTCCTGCCCCTACCAGGGGCTCGAGGGTTTTCCTTCCCCACCGGCTGGCGTTACGCTGCATGGTGGAAGACTCTTTGCTGGCTACACCAGGGCTGCAGACCACCCTGGGGGAGCGTTCTGCTGTTCTGGGGTCAGAATTGCCCTTGGAGGCACAGATGCAAGAGGAGCTGTGTCCACAGTGCGAGGGGGCTGTCCGAAGCAGGCTCAGGCCTGGGACTGATGCCTCCATGCTGATGGCTGCGACCGTTGCAGGTTACGAGCGGTACAACGCGATGCGCGCAGACCCGGCACTCTGCTTCCTTGAGAAGGTGGGCATGCCGGACGAGAAGCTGCTCTCCGCGGAGCAGGGCACCAGCGACGGCACCCAGGACACCACTGAGAGGTGGGCAGCGCGGCGCGGCGGGGAGCAGCCTGGGCGCATATGCACAGCCCACCATGGGGCCGGGCCGGGCGGGCTGGCTCCACTGCAGGGTGCGGGGGCAGCCCCACGTACGGGAGAGCTGGGCTGTGTCCCATCTAGCAGACACAGGCACGGCCAAGGAGGCTGCGTGGCAGGCGCCACGACTCACTCTCTCTCTTGCGCAGGGGGAGCATGGAGAAGGAAGAGAGCGGTGAGAAACCGGACAGGCTGCCGAAGCAGGAGGTGAGTGGGGTTCTGCCTCCCCGAGAGCTGCCCTGGAGCAAGAGCCGTGAAGTGCTGAGGTGCTGGGTGTCACCGCAGCAGCAGGAGCCCTTGACAAGGGGGACGGGGGCATCCGCAGAGGAATGGTCCCTGGGGAATGAGAGCAGGGCCAGGCCGTGGCGCTGAGAGCGCCCGTGGGGGCGGGCGGTGCGGGGTTTCTGCCTGGTCTGCTGGGCCCTCTGATGGCTTCTGTCTGCAGGACGTCGGGGCA